AGAAGAAGAAGAAGATCGTTTTCCGTTAAGCTGTCAGCTCAGCGTTGGAAAGGAGCGCTGCGAAAATGCTTGTTGTAGTGAAAATGTTAACTGGAAGGTCAATAAATATCGAAGTGGAGCCATCTGATACAATTGAGAATTTAAAAGCTAAAATCCAGGACAAAGAGGGCATTCCTCCAGGTAGGTGTGGAATCACCGTCTTCCTTGATCACGACTAAAACGAGCACTACAGATTACTACATTACAGTTAACGCTAGACAGATTGTCACCTGCCCAGAACTACAGGTGTTACTTAATTTGTTTATTTCCAGAATTGCCTGCACTCACACTGTCTACTCATAAAAGTCATTTTGTAGCTTCAATAGGTTTCATGGTGCGTTTGCTTGCACTTTGTAAACTAAGAAATCTTTATCCCAGTAGTCAGGAAAGTTGTTAAAAGGACATTTTCTGATTTTCCTTTGTTAAAATAAATTCATCAGTTGCTTATTTCTTCTTCTCTACAAGCTGCATTTCTCTGTAGGGACATTTATATATTTCTACGAATTATAGAACCGTAGCCGAGTATAACCATACATAGAAGAGCTCCTCCTCCACACTGAAAGGAGCCAGTTGGGGTGATTCAGACTTCTGACCACGATGCCTCCTGAGCGCCTCATATTTGAGGTGATTCGGTCATGTCTAGCTGAGAGGGGATACTGGAGAGATTCTGTCTATTGGCTGAAACAACAGAAGGTGGTGGCTGGGAGAGGGAGGTCTGGGCATCTTCCTGAACCTGGCTAAGATTTAAGCAATCTAATTTTACCCAAAGAAGTTTTCTCCTGGCAGACGATTGGCTGAAAGACATATGTTTACAGCAATTTAGCAAGAGCTGATATTTTCTCATCTGTTCAAGTCGGGGCATTAAATGGTTGTTTTTCTTTTTTGTTTCTTTTATTTAAATAATTAAAATAATTCTAAATGATGCTTGAATTTTTTCAGTTGTTATGCAGAAATGCTCAGTCTTGCTTTAAAGTCTGTGTATTCTTTACTTTTATTGTCTGTGTGTGTTTCAGATGTACAGCGGATTATTTTTGATCGACATCAGCTGGAGGACAATCGGACTCTCAAGGATTGTGGAATTCAACACAGTTTCACCGTACATTTAGTTTTAAGGCTTAGAGGGGGAGAACAACGTGAACAAGATGTTGAAGAAAATGTTGATGAAAGTATTGAAATTCATGACTATTCTGAGGAAGACAGTGAGGAAGATGAGGAAGACAGTGAGGAAGACGAGGAAGACAGTGAGGAAGACGAGGAAGACAGTGAGGAAGACGAGGAAGACAGTGAGGAAGACGAGGAAGACAGTGAGGAAGATGAGGGAGACAGTGAGGAAGATGATGGCACAGGAAGTAAGAATCCCAAAAA